GGGGACGATCGGACCGTGTCCATTGGAGTTACAGCGACATTTTGTATTATGGCGAGGGATGCGTTTCCATGGAATATGTTATCAATCAATCAATCAATCAATCAATCAATCAATCAATCAATGTTTATTTATATAGCCCAATATCACAAATGTTACATTTGTCTCAGTGGTCTTCACAGTTTGTACAGAATATCAGTATGACAGTACGACCCCCTCTGTCCTTTGACGCTCACATCGTAGGCCTACAAGGAAAAACCGCACAGTTTAAAGGGGGAAATGGGAGAAACCTCAGGGAGAGCAACAGAGGAGGGATCGGACGGACAGACGTGCAATAGATGCCGTGTGTAAATCGAAAAGATAATACATTTACAACATAGGTAGACCAAATGTTTATGTATAGCTTGTGCATTTTGGTTCGGTATTATTGCCTTTATGATACATCAATCTCGGTCCCGTGTGCTAACCTTTTCCCTCCGGAGCAGTGGAGGCAGCAAACAAAACAGAGAAGAAGAAGAAGAAGAAGAAGAAGAAGAAGAAGAAGAAGAAAACAGAAGGAAAGGCAGGCTCCCATGATGCATTGCACTGCCAACGTATGCAAACCAGGAACATGGCTACCGGTGCTTAACAGCAGCAATCCATCGTTACAAAACACTTATGAGGGTCTGACACAGTCTGTCACAGTGTCATATTTGCTGGTTCTCCGTCAGAGAGGAAAAGCCTTCGTAGAGTTTCCAGCTGAGGCTCAGAAAACACCGCTGTTCATCACAGACAGGTAACGATCAGTTGTCTCGGTCCACAGCTAACGTTAGCATCATCGCTAGTTACCATATCAATCCATTAAAATGTAACCTTTTGGTGTGATGTCCATGTAGAAACGACCCTTACATCATGACCAGGAATAAGACACCGTAACAGTGTTGTTATATTTTAGTTGTACGTTGTTGATATACACGAAGATTAACATCTCTAGTGTTTGCTAACGTAACGAGTCTAGGAGTCTTGACACGACTGCAGTTCTGTATGGAAATCTCTCATAGTATCATATCCAGAGGTGGAAGAAGTACTCCGATCTTGCACTAAAGCAAAAGGAGAAATACCAGAGTCTATGAATACTCTGTTAGAAGCAAAAGCCCTTCATTGCAAATATTACTCAAGTAAAAGTACACAAGTATTAGCATCAAAATACCTAAAGTACCAACATAAAAAGTACTTGTTATGCAGATCAATTTTCTAGTAATATATATGTTTTGATTATATTTATCACAACTGGTAAACGTGGAGCTAATTTAATTTACTTTGTATGCTGCAGGATAGCAAGTGCATTTACTCCAGGTTTAACTAAAGTCTTATTTATAACTTCTAAATTGTAGTACAGTAGAAGTACAAAGTGGCAAAAGATACGTACTAGTATCTGAAAATTGCACTTAATTACAGTACTTGATTACATTTACTTAGTTACTTTACACCACTGGAGGCAAGTAACATTTCCTCTTAATGTTTTTCTCAAAGCGAGGCTGGTTGGAGAAATGTAATCCTACCAGTCTACTGTTTTATTTGCTAAAGATTTTTCACCTGAATGACTACATAGATTTGTAAAGAGTGCCTCACTGTGAACACATTACACCTGTATGAGATCCTACATTTCATGTCCAACCTAATACAGTTGTGTTTTATACTGTACTGTTCCTGATTTTTCTTTTTATAGTAACAACAGTATCTTTAAACCTCGGTAGTACTGACTAACTTACTTAGTAAAAGAACAAGGCGATCCTAATACCATTTTAGATTAAATATCTTGGAGTCATATTGGGCTTAGCAAAAACTGAGGGGAAAAACTTCCCCAACTCAATAACTTTCACTTGAAACATACCCATCGGTGTAAATGATAAGGCTGGCGTTATCTGCTGGTATCGTGATTAAAGTTACATAACAAATACCAATACCCCCAGTGTGTTCTCTAATCCTTTCTGACCTTACTGCCAAGGCTGTGGCTCTAAGTCCCAGGCCCATGCATTCTTACATAATATGTACATCTTTAAAATAAATATATTTTTGCATCAAGAATTTACTGCAAAAGGACATTTTATGTATGATCTGCCTATATAAACCACAGTGCCAATTTTCTATGCATGGAAGGGACGGCATACAGATGAACGTTGTGGCTCCCTGATGTGTTTTCATATCCTCTGGATGACTAAACAGAGGTTTATAACACAAAGGAAAACAATATATCATGCTTTGGCTCCTTATTCTTCTAAGTAGGACCCATTTATTGTTGGTCTTTGTCTTTTCATGAAATATGTTGACATTTCATAGCATCAGACTGTGTAGGATTTAAAGCAGTGAATGTGAAACGATATCACAATCACGGCTGTCTGAATGTTCTGGTAATTGCTTTATTAATCATCAACTTTGTGTGTCCCAGTGCCACGGACAATAGAACACGTTGGGAAATTAATCTGAAATGTACAGCAATGTCTTTGTGGTGTACAAAAACAACATCTTGAATTAAAGCATAAGTGCTAATATAATCATATATGACTTTCCTTTCATCCACATTAGTGACATGCATTATCTGTGACCTCTAAAAGTTGCAGTAATACTCTGATGAATATTGAGATTACTTTCTGTATCATTCTGGGAAGGTCTTCTTGCAGCCTTTGCCCTATCTCTTGGCTGCAGCCTTCCTGCTGCTTTCATCCACCTGCCAGGCGAGGCGCAGTACACCTCAATCTAGCCTGCTGTCTTTGGAGCTGGGCCATGTTTATTTTAGATGACACCATCAAAGAAGTTTCCCTCACTACTTTGAAACAGAGATTTAAAGTTCAAATTCAGAAATGACAACCGACCTCATTAAATAATAGAAAATGTAACACTTCTATTAAAGGAGAATTTTCTGTTGAGACAATACAAAACAAATCTGTGATCTCAGTATTTGAAATAGTGCTCTGGTGTTGATACGGTTGTTTTACCATTATAGGCAATTATTAGATTGTTACCTTCAAGTTGTGTTTAGGAGTATTCATTTACAGGAGTATTTTGTGTCTTTTGATCAAGTTTAAACCAATGTTCCAAAGACCCTTTACCTTTCTCTTTCAGTGGGGTTCAACATGGCGAGTCCAAGGACCAGACGAGTTCTGAAGGAAGTGAGAACCCAAGAAGAGAATAATGTAAGTTGGTTACTCATGTGGCTAGTTTTCATTTCTTATTCAGAATAGTTTCACCTCTCTGGCATCTTATAATTCAGGTAGCAGGTGTTTGGGAGTCTTGCAAAGAAGCACCTTTCCACGATCAACGTTCTCCGCTCTCATCCATGTTCAGATAAATGCTGGGAGTAATTTTAGACGGGACTTTCACTGCCAGTGGACATCTTGTTGGCCTGCATCTCTGGCAATAACACCAGACAAAATACGTCTACTAAACTTAAAAATAAACTATATAAATAAGTAAACATATTTTTGTTCTGTTCTGTTTATCTGACCAAGAAAAAAACCATTTCTTTTATTTATTTATTTTTTTTATTTAGCCTCAAGACCTGGACATTCTATAAAATAAAATTGTTACTGTGGGATTACTGTTATCATTTTATAATGGGCTATTCAACTGACAAAGTCCGGAACATGCACAGCAGTTTTAACAGCTTGTAACCAAATGATTAGCATAAATAGGTTACATACATGCCCTGAAACAGATCAAGTATGATTCCTACAAATATGTCATTATAGTTTTCATTATATTAGTAGTTTATCTTGACCCAAAATGCAAAGATCAGATATCTGATATCATATCATCCTGTGGTTGGTTCATTTGCTTTAACACCAGTTTGCTTGGCAGACAAGGACCCATATTTTCTTTTAAATGTAGGCTCAGGCAACATTATCTTTTGTGAATTCATTTTTTTAGTTTTTTTCTGAGCAGATGTTAAAATGTATTCACTGTGCTTTATTTTTTTCAGCTATGTTATGAGTGTGGGGGTTTTAACCCTCAATGGGTTAGTGTAACTTATGGGATCTGGATTTGTCTTGAGTGCTCTGGCAAGCACAGGGGCCTGGGAGTCCATCTGAGGTAAGACAAGTGATTTGTATTATGGTTTTGATGATAGTTGAGTTCCTGCCAGGTCTGATAATGATCCCTTCTGTCTTATCTGCAGTTTCGTGCGCTCTGTCACCATGGACAAGTGGAAAGATATTGAGCTTGAGAAGATGAAAGTGGGAGGAAATGGGGAATTCCGCAAATTTCTCGAGCTCCAAGATGATTATGATCCCACCTGGAATTTACAGGAGAAATACAACAGCAAACCTGCTGCACTCTTTAGAGACAAGGTGAGGTGTGCACCACTTTGACCAGTTCCACAGTTTAACCAACACATTGTTCTCAATGCTGATGGTAGACTAGCATCGCCCCCAGTTCTTTTTTTATGATCTATTTGTGCTATGTATTTGTTTGATATGTTCACTGTGTACACCAACTGGAGGATGCTTGCTCTTTACCAAGCACACCAGAAAAGTGAACAAAGCATTTTTAAGTGACCGAATTAAATGAGGTGTCATTAACTAGGGATGCCAGTGATTATTCGAATATTCGTTACAGTCTCCATAATCGAATATTATTTTTAAAAATCGATTTTATTTATATATATTTTTATTATTATTTATGTTTTTTTGTTTTTTTTCTGGCTTAATTTCAACCAAAATATAGACTAATAAAATATAGCTAATAATAGTAATAGTATTAATAATTGTAAATTGCCATTGGTCACACCACCAGTTTGTTTTACTGTAAANACTTTTTCATGTGTCCCCTCTGTGGAAAGAGACTCTGAACGTTTCAGGAACAAAATATTCTCTCTTTAGACAGGTTTTTATAGAAATGGATCAGGACAAAAAGAGAGAATATTTTGTTCCTGAAACGTTCAGAGTCTCTTTCCACAGAGGGGACACATGAAAAAGTGGATTTTGCATTAAAAATTAATTTTAATGGAACTCTATAGGCCTTAGCTCTTATTTCTGCTTACACTCTGTGAGCAGAAACCCATTCAATCCTATGGGGACCGCCCTGTATTCAAACAGAGAAAACCTCCACACTTCTCTGCTCTTATTGCCCTGCTTCTGTCGCCCTAGACGACCCTCACCGGCACCCTGCCATGGAGGGCCGGTCAGAGGGTGCTTTCTGCAGCAAAGAGCCTCTAAAAAGGACCCTCTAAAATGGGAGCATGTGATTAAAACTAGGGCTGCTCGATTATGGCAAAAATCATAATCTCGATTATTTGGGTCAATAATTGATATCACGGCTATTAAAAAAAACGATTATCCATTTACTTTGAAAACATCAATTTATTGGAGAAAAAAAATGTGAACAGTATGTTTTTAATAGTTGATTACCCTGAACTTTAAGTATAATTCTACTGAAAAACCAATACATAAAAAAAATTATTTATTAAAAAAGTAATAATTATAATAAAAAAATAATCGTTTTATTTCGATTACGTTCTTTTCGTAATCGTTGCAAGCCATAATCGTAATTGCGATTTAAAATACGATTTATTGAGCAGCCCTAATTAAAACAGTCATTCTTATTCTTTATTAGGATCCGCATGAGCATTGGCTATTCTTCCTGGAGCCTCACACACACAACATTCATAAAAATACATAAAACAAAAGAAAACAGCTCATCATTTCATGCAATTTACAATACTATATGAAATGAAAACTAAAATGGTCATCCACTTTTAGCCATCACAAGTAATTGTACATAATAATACATACATAGCCACAGGCACAGTTCAATTATACTTTATAATACTGAGATAATGTTTTGGCAACCTTTTGAAATGTACTTGAGAATTTGCCTGAATGATTATGGACCGGAAAATAATTCCCGGCTCTGTGACTGTTTTCTGTTTCATATTTGATTTAGATTTGGGTAATAAGAACCTTCCTTCTATTCAGATACTTCAATTTATGATTAATAATTAAGTTATTTTAACAAAGCTTGGCACTTTCTCCCCAGTTATCTCTTCTACTTTGAGGATGCTTTCCCCCCTTCTGTTCACACTGTTACTTTTGATTATCAGTCAGACACCCTGCTGGTCATTTTAAAGGCTATGAGAACCAGAATCTACCTGGCAACAGTGTTTTTTTTTGGACACCCTCGAGTTCAGGGCGTTCCGAGCTGAATAAGACTTTCAAATGACGCCAAGACGCCCCCCTGGCAGAAACGCTGCCTGGCAATATATGTGATCAATAGGCGCGTTCACACAGCAGTACTTTTCCCACTTTAGTTCCGAAATTTTGCGTTCACACCAAAAAAATCCGGAACAAAAATTTGTTCATGAGAACCTTTTTTACCCCCTTTTCCGTCCCTGCTAGAGAACAGGGACTTTCGTGGGAGAAAAAGGTTCCTATTTCTGATTGGCTGGGTAGATTGCAAACCACGCCCCGTAAAACTCCCAAAAGGTTTTGTGAAGCCGCCATTTTATTATCCTCGCATTATCATTATTAGCATTAGCCCAGCGCACGAACGCAGAGAGACTAACTTATGGCAACACGGAATAAGTGTTCTACTGAAGCCAGTCCCCAACTCCGGGGACTTCCGGCTGGGGACTTCGGGTGGCAGTATACGCCGTGAAGTTGTTTGCGGCCTGCCAGTAAACCCAAAGCAGCAGCAGAAGAAGTGACGTCAGCGGCTTCATTTGCGTAATCTTCACTCAGGGAATTATTCCGGTGTGAACGCGATCTACTAGATGGTTCCGGAACTATAGATTTCCGGGAACTATTCCTGGGAAAAGTACTTGGTGTGAAAGCGCCTCTTGCGATTGACGTTTTTTTTAATATCATGATTTTAATTGTATCATTTCTAGTATACGGGTCACATTGTGAGTACAGATGTGGGAAGATGTATTGCTAGGCTTACGGCCCGTCCAAACAGCGGCGTGCGTTGAAAGCTTCACCATTCACTTTCAATGGGGTGATGTCACTTTTCGCCGAACTGCATTGTGGGAAGCGGAGCTTTGCTGGCGTGGCTCGCTGCAAAAGTTGAGCATTGTTCAACTTTTGAAGCCTCGGCAGAAGCGTCAGCCAATCAAATCATATGCCAGTACAAGCTCTAGCCAATCAAACCGCTGCTTGTGTGTCCGGGGCGGGAGATTCATGTGATTGGTTGTTGGTGGAGTTTCAGACACGCCCACCGGCAAGCGACAACGCATGCCGCTGTGTGGACGGGCCGTTACTGTAAAGAAGTGGGGCTCCTGACAAATAAATTATACAAACACACTTTCTCTGCAGCTGCTGTGAGAGAAACTGAAAACAGTTTAGAGGCTTTTTTATTGGGTTGGCAGCTGTGAAAAAGCAAGTGACCTTTTATTTTGTTTGATTTGTGGAGTTAAACAAACAACCACTAGGAGGAACACGTCGTAAACTTAGGTCTCATTTGGATAAAATCAACACATGAAATGCACCACTTCTCTCTAGGAGCAACAAGAATGCTGCTGAAGTAAGGGAAATAAAACTAGCATTACATATTTTCCCTTTTTTTAAGGATAAGTTAGTTGCTCATAAGTCAATATACTAACTTAATCATGGAAGTTAGTCTTCTAGGTCGGATGTCTGCTTTGTTTATTTGTCCCATCAACAGTACAGCCTGATAACTTGAGGCTAAATTCCTCCCAAATGTTTGTGTAATTTAGCTCCAGCTGCAGAGACGTCCAGACCAACACGCTATCTTTATCTTTTCCTCCATTAGTAGAAACCCACTCCCATGAATTTGGATTAACCTGATTTTTGAGCTGTGTGCGTTTAGATCATCGGAGTTGAAAGAAAAGTTAAATGGTGACAGAAGTTGTTGTTTCCTTTGTTTGTTCTAAATGTTATTTGGCTGTGAGTCCTGGAGTGCTCCTGAGTTTTAGGGCTACAGTTGGTGGTTTCCACAGTGATTCAGTGTTTGGTGTAGACGCACAAATCAGCCAGGATGTGGATTGTTAGTCAGTTGGACACTTTTGTCTCAGCACTTTGTTGTCGAGGTGTTCGAAGGCTTTGATTCATGAACGTACCCTCCTCTATTACACTTGTTCACACTAGTAGCGACAAAGCAACAAGCTACACGTCATTTATCATTTATAATGGAAGCTGGTGACAGGAAGCAAACTGTGGTGCTGTGTGACGATACAAATCAAATGTAGCTGGCCTTAACTTTTTTTCAGTGCTCCAATGGAAAAGCATCAATGTTTTTTGTTTTGTTTCACCATTTACCGTCCTCTTTTCTCTCCCCTCAATGCCTATTCTGTACTAGGGTTGCCAGAAACTGACCATGATCAAAATCGATTATTCGGCAGCCCTGGCGAATAATAATCGATTATTCGATTATTCGACCGACCGACCGCGGGAGAGAGAAAAAAAAACTCAGACAAAAGGATTTCCGTTGTTTGTTTCATTTAACTTCCTTTGGACTTGTAAGTTCGAAGTAGTTCCACGAGGAGGAACTCTTTTTACCTGCCGTTTTGTTCATCTTTAGTCGCACGTGTGAGGGAGAGGGGGGGTGGGGGCGGGGTCGGTGTGTAGCGCTGCAGCAGCAGTCTGCTCTGCACTTAGGCTTCCTCCAAGTTTACAGTAAAACAAACTGGTGGTGTGACCAATGGCCATTTACAATTATTAATACTATTACTATTATTAGCATTAGTCTATATTTTGGTTGAAATTAAGCCAGAAAAAAAAAAAAAAATACATAAATAATAATAAAAATATATATAAATAAAATCGATTTTTAAAAATAATATTCGATTATGGAGACTGTAACGAATATTCGAATAATCGAATAATCACTGGTATCCCTAGCAGATACTGTAGAAAGTAAACGGGTTTGTCAGTCTCTCAGTTTCTGTTGAGTGTTCAGTGGTACACCAGAGGAAGTCAGCTGTAAAAAGCACAGCTTAAAATAAAACTGGAGTAAAGTAAATGAAAGTGAACTCCACACTGTCTGAGGTATCGTTGTGGTTCTGAAGCTGAGCCGAGTCTGAGACATGAAACAAGCAGTGAGGAGGTGATGACGGATATACAGAGTGACGGAGGAGTGAGAAGTGGACGCAGAGTCACACGGGACATGATGGAGGGGGTGCAGGACAAGGAGGGCGACACAGGGATCAAGAAAAACAGCAATAAAATGGTAGGAAAACATTAATTATTTGATTAATATAATCTTCAAAAAAAGGCCTTTTGGACCCGACTGGCTCCAGAGCAGACTCAGAACACAGAGAAGGGATTTCGGATGTTGGAAATGGAGATTGATTTGTTTGAATATTATTTAAGTGAGCAGATAAAAGATTTTACTGTAAATATATAATCTGTAACCTTCC